CCGGCCAAATAACCCCACATTGCCATTTTGAAAATTTTTGTCTATAAAGTCGTCATGGCTGTACAGGACTAGATGAAATTGCTCTTGGAACCGCTGAACACCCTCAAGAATGGCGCTATAATGTGTGAATTCGTTTACAGTCCAAATGCTACATGTTATACAAATTTTTAAACGGAAGTAAAAGTTATCATTTTCTAACGAAATTCACGTTTTATTAATTTTGAATAAAACTAATAGGGGGAAAGTTTTGACATTTGTTCTGGAGTATGTTCTGACGATGACAAATGAATACAGACTAAAGTTATTTCATTCACTTTTATCAGCTTTCGTACAGGCGGGGGCGGCCAATTTACACCACCGGCCAAATTACCCCACTCTCCCCTAGTTACTAGGAAGGCTTTCTAATCCATTTTTATTTAGTTCCTCGTTATAGGCGTAAGAAGTGTAAGTCTGAACGGGGGGGATACTTGTACTGAATGCCCTCCCTAGGCTCATGTCGGGGGGGGGGGCATATGCCTCTAATGCCCCCCCCCCTGGATCCGCCAGTGTATAAGGACCAACGATAAATGTATGTATGTTCTGGACCGAAGCTTTAGCCGACCTAGGAACGAGACCATCCCAAAATGTTGGGTTAAGTGCAAACTGGTAAATGGTAATGCATTTTTGACCGTGGTCAATTTGCTTACACCAGTTATTACCACACCCCTCCGGCTAATGTAGGGGAAGGTGGGGTAAGACGGCCCAGCGTACACTGGTCGGAAACGCCCTCACGAGAGGCCACGGGCGATTCCGGAGTTTCGGATTATTTTTTATATAGATCGATTTGAAATTGATCAAATTATTATACTTAGGCCACAAAACTAATCCGGGTGACCAAAAATAGCTGTAATCAGCCCCCGAAAACGGGGTATCCCAGAACTCGGAAACTGACGCGGAGCAAGAGGTTTCTTGAGCCGGATATTCAGAGTCTTATTGCTGATAGACACCAAATTGAAATCCCACATATTATGCATCAAAATGTTCGTTATGAAGTTGCCGACTGGTCAGTGCAAAATTTTTGGTATACTTTTTCCCTAACTAAGATGTACTATAGCTTTTTTATGAAGGCTCTCCTACAGTGATTCTGGAATATAACTGCAAAGTTTAGGTAAGGAAACAACAGGTAGTCCCATCTAGTTCCACTCTGATTTTTTGTGAGATGAAGTAGGATTTAAATCTACACCAGGGCAACATAAAAGCTAACTGCGCATATTTGCGCAAAATTTGCAGGAGCCGTTCTTCCTACCCAACTACCGCCCGCCCCGCCCCAGTTTCGGCTCGGCCGCCGCGCCCGGCTCGCTGACCTGTGTGGCCTGTACGCATCCATGCGTAGTTGACTGGTCATTAAAAACAGATGCGCTTGAGTTTATGAATTTTGTGAAAAGCGCGTTTTATGTATGCATTTATGTATGTATTGACATCAAAAGCCTTCCACATATTGCGTGGCGATTACGGCTTGCATTTAGAGAGCCTTGCTATTGACAATCATCACTCGGCTGAAGAAAGTGGAAATTGAAACCTTCGTGAATATAAGACGCTGCAAATATAGGACACCTGTCACTGACGTCGGGTTACCTTGAGCCGTCTTTTTACATTAGATCACAATTCCGGTATTTAACCCTGGCCGGACCGATTGGTTTTCCATATTGACCGGGGAGGGTTGGTATAACTCCCTCGCCGTTTCGCCTTTAATTGAGCTAGAGCCTCGCGGAAAAAACAAGCTTGTGTGCCGTTATAAGACGCAAAAATTAGGTACCTACTACCCGATTTTAAGGTCTTAGGTCAGCCAGTGACCTCTTAGGTCAGGTAAGTGTCACAAGGCATGGGCTCGGTTTTAGGTTAATTACTTTGCCAAAAATGGTCGCACTGCCGCGATTTCGGCATCATCGTGTTTGTCTAGCTCAGGCGCGTTGAATGCTATACTTGGTGTTCGGGTGAAGTCAACTTAAGGTGTTAACCTCGGGTCAAGGTCAGGTCGGAGCCCCTCAGGTCACGAAAATGATTGAAGGAGGTAATATTGCATATCATTCGATTCGGCAGGTCTTCCTGAGTCCAATGGTGGCTTTCCCGACTCTCTAGCTCCATCTGATCAGGAGTTATTGACGAAAAACTTATATGGCCTTAGTGACGTCATAAATGACGTCACGCAAAGTCAACAATGTTAAAGTCAAGCACTGGACCTTGCAAAAAGTGCATGAAACCATTCCCGGTGCCCGAATAGCAGCTCCCAATTTCCCTTGTTGACTTAAAGCATGGTGCTAGATCCTGTATTATACTCAATTATGACGTCATAACTTAACAGATTCACGTCATATATTTAGTGCTTGACATCCAAATGATAGCGTACATATGACAGAGAAGGTATGCAAAGTTTTATGAAGTTTGCTTCACTAGTTGTGGAATAGCAAGCAAAAAACTTTTGCGGAAAGGCCGCTGGCCTCTCGCTGGAGCGTTTCCGACCAGTGTGCAGCGGGGCAAGACGGACCACCAGCCCTCCCGGCTGAACTGCTGCTGGTATCTACTGCTTTATGTACTCACTATGTTTGTTTTCCTTCGTAACAATGGCCACCTTGAGCTCATGCTGCTAGGATGCATAGATTTTGAGTTATTGAGAAAAATGTTGTTTTTCGTCAAACCGATCTAATATAAGAGGTCTACGGGTGATTCAATTACGGCGCCTTTCTTGCATGATTAGTTTCTATTTTGCACTTAACTGTGAAGAACAAAGTTATAAACTTAGTTATAGTCACACTTTAGGGAAGGCAAGGCTTTGCAATGTTGGGCTATTTGACATATACGTCATGATAATGACAGAATTTAGATTTGGGGCAAGACGGACCACTGTGGTCCATCTTACCCTGTGGTGGTTCATTGTACATACCCTGCATATGGAAAGTTCTTTTCCAAAACATTGACACAAGTTTAAGTAAGCTAATTTTTCAGGAAGGAGTCTTTGTTGCATGTGAGCCATGCATGTAAGTGGTCAGTTAGCATGCATTCATGCCAAACGACAATCAACACACATATTCCCAGCTTTTAGCTGCACTTCCATCACACATGAGTAAAGAATAAAGGCTCATTTTGTTATTTTACCATTCTGGTTACTTTTTCTTACAAGAGTACAGAGCAGAAGTGTAACACACATGAACGGATAGCAGGCACTGCTGGGTGGTCCGTCTTACCCCACGTTTTTTCTTGTCTGAGTTTTTGACATGTCCCTCTTTAAGAGCATCCACCACCTAGATGTCTTTAATTTGAAATTTAGTCTTTACACATATCAACAGGGAAAAGATTGAGCACTCCGAAGACTATAAATAATATGAATTACGAGAGCAGTGTAGCAAGATATGCGGCCTCAAACCTTAGCTGGTCCGTCTTACCCCACCTTCCCCTATTTGTGTAGACATGGCCGTGAGTGATTAACTGTACAGCATAGTCAAAGTAGGTATATTCTGAACAGTGAACACCAAGACCAGTTCAAAGCCAAAGTCCCAGTCCGAATCTCAATCAATCCCCCGTCTCGAACATGACCTTGAGACGACCTTTTGGCACAGAAGGTTCCCTAGGGGAAACCAATCGGCGGCTGCCCTGGCGTCGCAGCGCCAGCCAATCAGCAGCCGCCATCACACTGTCACAAGCCGTCGACGCAAAGCTCTGCATCTAGCCCACGGCGCGTGACCTGCGGCCGCGGGCGCTTGCAGCGGTAGAGTCCCGAGTCCGACTCTGTCGGCGTCGACGCGGCAATTCATATAGCCGCCCGAGCTATCGGCGGCAGGCACCGGAGCCCTCCTACATTTGGATAGGCCAGGCATACAGTAATATACAATTACATGCCCACTTTTACTATCATTAGTCGCGGAAAATTTGCAGCGATCATTTAGTCGGCGCGGCGTAGCCATGGCGAGCATTATTATTTTTCCTGTGGAAATGTCATTTGACGTGACTTGGTGACCTGACCTTGAGCGATCAGGGTCTGAAATTTTCGCTAACAAGTGCAGAAAAAAATGCATTATAAGATGTGTGCCAAAAACAGTCCCTGCCAGGCGGGGATTACGTCAGTCATCACACTCGGACCCAGACATAAGAAAACAAGCGATTTTTTAGGCATCCATCCACTGTTTCACCGGCGCTTGCAGGCTTGCATATTTTCTCATTTAAGTTTATTTTGATAACAGACTTATGTCGTGTAGTTTGACTAAATGCTTTTTTAATTCCATTTCCCGTTGGGTAGAACAACATGCAAGAGGCAAGGGGTTTCGGATACATGTAGATAACAATATCGTTGGTGGAGTTAACGTCTTTGACGAGTGTGATGGATTACGGAATGTGTTCGTACAAGTTTGGGGACAGAGGCGACGCCCCTGGCTGATGACATGACCTCAGACCTGACCTAAAAGGCGACAGAAGTAATTTCTTCCTTATTTTTTGGCGCTCTTTCAAACGCTGCCTACGTCGTGTCGCCACGTGGCCCAGGAGCCGAGTTAGAAAGGGGGTTCAACCCCTCCCCCCAGCAGGGCTTGCAAATCCAGGACCCCCAGCATTAATTAATTAGGTTAATTAGGTTAATACTACATATCCAGGGATGTGCCCGAATGTGTCCGATAACACAAGAAATTATTACTTACCTACATCAAAAACGTAAAAAGTGCACTAAAGTGATCTTTTAACTTCCAGCATAAACAAATGTCTACCAACTTTAACGAAAAATGTACCAGTTTTGAGGCATACAACTTTAATATTATTGACCTGCGTCGTGCCTGTGACGTCACAAAGGCTTTCCTAAACGGAAATTTGGAAGCAACAGTTTTGAATCCTACTTAGTTTGTCACACTGATCGGCGAATACATGAGAAGTAGCGCGATGACATTCCCCGGCTGTGCTGAGCGCCCATGTGTCTGGTGTGCGCTGTTCCAGGTCCCGGCTGTGCTGAGCGCCAATGTGTCTGGTGTGCGCTGTTCCAGGTACGGTATCGTTCACGGCGGCGGTGTGGGCAAGTTTCTGGCCGACTGGATGCAGCGCGGCGAGCCGCCCTACCACCTGATCGAGCTCGACCCGGCGCGCTACGGCAGCTGGACCACCGACCAGTACAGTGTGGCCAAGTGCCGCGAGAGCTACGGCATGAACACGGCACTTGGCTACCCCAGGGAGGAGCGGTTCGCAGGTGCGCGGACAGTCAGCTCACCGGCTACCACAGGCCAGACCCAGCTCTGGGGCACTGGCTTTACCCGCGCATGACTGCAGGGACAATGGGGGGGGGGGGGGGGTGCGGAATATGTCGGCCGAAAATGGCGTATTCAGGGGGGGCATGGGGGCCATGGCCCCCCCCCCCTTTCCGTCCAGCCGCCCAGATGGCGCCCCAATTAGCGCCGACTAGGCTGATGCTGTTTTACAGAGGGAACATAAATTAAAAAGTGATGTGCAGGCAGGGATCGAACTCAATATCTCTTTGGGGGTGCCTGGACACCCCTATGTCCTCCAGGGCACCCTCCAAATAGGACCTGAGCCCCCAATGTTGAAGGGCGCCCCTCCGGAAACCAGAATATTCCGAACCCCCAGGGTCGATGGCGCCCCTGAAGAGCCGCTGGCACCCACCTGAACGGAACAGTCGCCCCATTAAAGGTTGATGGCGCCCCTCTGAAGTTCACAGTTGCCCCATTCGGCCCCATCCAAGATCGATGGCGCCCCCTGAAACCACTGGCGCCCCTCTAAAGCACCTGCATTCTTCTCAAGATCACAGTCGCCCTATTCAAGATCAATAGCGCCCTCAAGAGAGCCACTAGCGCCCCCCCCCCTTGAAACTGAAGTCGCTCCATTCAAGCCCAATGACGCCCGTCCAGAGAGTCCGGTGCGCTTCTGAAGATCACAGTCGTCCTCATCCGAGGTCGCTGGCGCCCCTCAAAAGTCACTGGCGCCCATCTAAACGGAGATCACAGCTGCCCCATCTTAAGATCGATGGCAACCCTCTGAAACCAATGGCGCCCTTCGTACCCGGCGCCCCTCTGAAAATCATATTCGCCCCATCCGAGACAACGCCCCTTGCGACTACAGTCGCCCCACCCAAGCTCAAGGCGCCCCTCCAGAGCGTCCGGCGTCCTGTTGAAGGCAACAGCGGCCCCATTTATGCCCAATGGCGCCCCTCAAGAGCCACTGTCGCCCACCGGAACCGGGACTTCATTCGCCCCATCCTAGATCAATGGCGCCCCTCTGAAACCACTGGTGTCCCTCTCCAAATAACAGTCGGACCATCCGAGGTCAATGACGCCCCTTCAGAGCGTCCGACGCCCTACTGAAGGCAGCAGTGACCCCATGCAAGCATTACAGCCCTCTAGATCGCCCGGTGGCCTTCTGAAGATCACATTCGCCCTATCCGAGTTCGTTGACGCCCTCCAGTAGTCACTGACGCCCATCTGAATGGAGACTTCAGTCGCCCCGCCCCATTCAAGATCTTAGCGCTCCCCCCCCCCCCCTCCTCAGAAACCACTGACGCTAGGAAATTATTTGACAGTGGGGCTCTCTCATCGACACCAAGGGCCCTTTTGAAGATGCAGCAGCCAGGCGGCGCCGAGCTGGGCTAGGATGTGCCAAGCGTTTCTTACAAGGCAGCCTCGTTAGTGCCACCCCTCGTTGCGATACCGCCCCTCAATGCGACACCGCCCCTTCACCGTACAATGCCACTCCTCAATGCAAGTGGTGCGTCTCAGCACAGTGCCGCCCATTATTGCGATACCACCCCCGCCTAGCAGTGCGGTGCCGCCTCCAGCGTATGCGTTTTTTTTTATTGAACCTGCTGGGGGTGTTTGAACACCCACTTCTAACTCAGCTTGTGGGCCACGTTGAGACCCGCAATAGGCGGCGTTCGAAAGAGCGTCAAAAACTTTTGCAAAACTACTTAAACCATTTTTAAGGTTAGGTCGAACTGGTCAAAGGTCAGGTCACCAGAGACAACCGAAAATCAAATTTCGCCGATTTCGACATTTTTCGACAAAGCTACGCGTAAGTCAGGATTCAGAAAGAGATTGAGCTACAGCCCCGCAGCAAAGCGCATTCGATAGCTCTTTCTTATTAATTATCTCAGATTTGACCTAAGGTAAACGTTTTAGCCTCAAAATATACCCCGCGCACCGACGGGGGTCTGCGCCAACTTCGCACCGACGGGGGGGCGGATGACCGCCCCCCCCTGAGATCTCGAGAACGAAGCAAGATAGCGACAAGCGGTAAATGGCATCGGATACGCACGGTCAAGATCTACAATTTTTACTGAGGTCATTTTTAGGTCAGGTGAAAGATGACGTCACAGGGGTCAAAAAAGTCAAAATGGCGGCGCTAGATATGGAGGGAGTTTTTCTCAAATAACTTTCGAATTAGTCAAGATAGGAACAAACTAAGGGCATCATCGTGATCCTCTCGTCAATCCGCATCGAATGATAGATATGTTGACCTCGAAAGGTCAAGGTCAAAGGTTGACTTCAGGTCACGTGACCTCGAGGTCATCATGTATAGCATTCGATGCGTTTTGACGAGCTGAACACAATGAGACCATCCACGCGGCTGTATCTTGTTCCTGTACGGAGTTATTGGCCAAAAACCTTTCGTGACCTTTGATGACGTCACATGACCTCACAGCTGCCCAACAGCAAAACAGACCTCAAGGTAGTGAAGATTGATCGTATATGAAGTCATGTATGGTATATGGGGCCATTCCGACCCGTTTTAGTGGTGGTAAAAACAGGGAGTTGATTTTTCCCCCATTGACTTATAATGGGGAGGTCGCGAAATTGACCTGACCTTAGGTCACCGACATCAAAATTCCGAGATATACAAATTGTAGCTACTAATGACCTAATAACATCCTGCGACTTTCAAAGGCCTCCGACATCTACTGTAGCTCTGGCACGGTGACAAAGTTGCAAAAAAGTGACTTGAGGTTGGGTCATTCAAAGTGACCTGGTGACCTGACCTTAAAAGGTAGGAGGTTCAAACTTGCACACCATGTGTGAAATTGATGAGGGAATAGTCATACTAAATTTCGCGGCGCTACGCGCCGCGGTTTTCCCGCTATTCGCGAAAAACCTCAGGGGGGGCGGATATCCGCCCCCCCCCCGTCGGTGCGCGGGATACGTTTTCGCGGAGGACGTATATCTGTAATACCTTTTGACTCAGACCTGCACGAGATTAGTTTAACCGGCATCGTGTTCCATTTTTCGACACGAATCAAATGAATTAGTATTTGACATAAAAAAGGCATTTTGAGAATTTGACCAAAGGTGAAGGTCATCACCTAACCGGAAATGGCATATTAGTAGATCCGTATTGTTGAGAAGGAAAATAATTATATAAGGTGTTTCATTGCTCTACCATATCTCTATCAAAAGTTATTGTCCAAAAACTACTGAAGACCTTTCATGGCCTGATATGACCTCAGTAACATAAAAGGGGTCACATCACGAGTGAAATTTTCCGATTACATGTGTCATATTTAACTGTACCCAGATGTTTGAGGGTGTTTTCGTTCAAAAGAAGAGCATTTCAATTTTCTCCCTTTAACCCGCACCATGCTGGGGGAGGGGGGCGTTTTTACGCCCCCCCCCCCTTAGGTTTTTTTTTGCGAATATCTCCAAAACGGCGTCGCGCAGCGCCGCCGTTTTTGGTAGGTACACCTGTTCATACATCTTTTCCAAACATCTTGTGAAAATTTCAGACCCGGGTCGTTCAAGGTCAGTGACCTTACCTCAGAAAAAGTGTAAAGGCTCGCTATAGGTACACCGACTGAGCGACCACTTTTCAAACTTTCAGAGATTGATAAGAACAAAAACATGTATAAAATGTTTATCTCGGACTTTTGATATCTATGACCTAAGGTCAGGTCAATTTTGCAACCTCTCCATCATAAGTCAATTGGAGAAAATTGAAATGCGCCTCTTTTGAACGAATGTGGTTCAAAATCCTCTCAAACATCGGTTCACAGGTAAACACAACACACTGAATCGTAAAAATGCACCTGTGACCCTTCTGTGTGCCTCTGAGGTCATCTCAGGTCATGAACAGTCACCAGCAGTTCTTTGGCTATAAATTTTGATAGATACGTGCTAGAGCGGTGAAAACACGTCAGATGTGTTCAGTTCGACGATACGGATCGACTGATATACAGCATGGCCGTTTCCGGTCAGGTCATGGCCTTGACCTGAGGTCAAATTTTCAAAATGGCCTTTCAAGGTCAACGAATTGTTCATTCGACGCGTTTCGACGAGAGGAAGACGATGCTGGCAAATTAAATGTCGTCACTGTCTTGAGTCAAAAGTTATTGCAGAAAAATGCTTTTAATTAAAACTACAATTTTTGGAGTTTTTGCCCTCTGGAGGCTAGTGACAGTCAGTCACTGGAGACAGTCATGCATGTCTACAAGTAGGGGCTGCACGCACTAGACATCGAATTGTAAAGGTGATTTGTGGATAAAAAAAAATCCAGAACGTATGTCAGCGTTCGGTCGCCTCTGACTGCAGTCGCTGCTGGTATGACAATGAGTTGGGATCTCATGGTGGATCTCATGGTCTTAAATGTTCAAGTCTTTCCTTGATCCCAATTTAGGCAATGAGTCGCAGCGTGAATCCTACATACGTGCGGTTTGAGATTCTAAGCACGGCCACCCCGGTCGACCACAGGCTGCAGCCCACAGGTCACTTTGGATCAGTGAGTAAGCCTGTATTATTTTTTATGAGAAATCGGCGAAAGCTGGTTCTTATACTCGTATTTTGCAACACCTAATAAATCATACATGAACATGACGTTACACTTTAGACTGCAGCCCCTGCCACTAGCTGACAATGGCGCCCCTCTCAAGGGAAAAAGTCGCCCCCTCGAGCACCATGGCCCCCCCCTTTCGCTGATCTCTGGCTACGCCACTGCCGGGCGGCAGGTCAATGACCTTTGGCAATTAATACGGGAACAGGGCACCGCTGGCAAGGAGGAGACGCCAAATTTATTCTGGCGATAACTCAGCCGGTACTAGACCGATTTTTATGAAACTTGATTTATTACGCTGCGCGTAATGCTGGACACCTAGTCTATATTATAAATCCTAAAAAATCCGCCGTCGGGGTAACGCCCAAAAACGCTTATAGCGGCGCCGTCGATTGACGCAGGGGGGGGGGTGAAATTTTCACG